GGGTTCGACAGTCCCCGGAAGCTCGATAAAATCCGCAAGAAGCTCCCCAGAGGCCCCAAGAAGCTATTCAGCCCTTCTTCAAGAGCTCTTCATACCCCAAGCCCACCCCAGAAAATCGTCAGATGCCCTAGGAAGCCCACCGTGCGTTTTTGTCACATATGGGTGGTCTAGGTTCTTCCTGCAGGCCAGCCGCCCGAGGAAGATCTTCTGATGGGCCTGTTTTCCACCACCACCACCACCATAAGCTGGAGGGGGAGGGGATCCTCCTCCTCCTCCTCCTCCTCGTCCTCCTCCTCCCCTCTAACTTCTGGTGGTGTTGATGGAAATAGGCCCACCATCTTCGGATGCCCTTAGAGGCTCGTCGTACGTTTCGCATCGGCTGCGAGGGGGGTGGGCCTGGGCACCTCCCTGGAGGCCGACCAGCACAGGCACAGGCCCTTGGAACCCCCATCAACAATTGAGGCTGCTTGTCTTTCCGGCGGCCTGATTTACGGACTGGGGCCCCACCAATACTGGAAAATAATTGCTATCCGCGGCAGCTGCCGCACAGCAACGACGACGACGACGACGACGACGATGACGCCGACTACGACCACGACCACGACCACGACCACGACCACGGCTGCGGCTACGACTACGACTACGAGTAGTCGATCATGAGCAACGCCTCTGGCGAATAAGGTGTCGAACTATATTGCAATCCTCTTACAAACGTGCCATGCAGGGTAGCCCAGAGATCCATTCGCTGGGAGAGAGAAGCACCAAATATTATCCAGCGCGGCGAATCTTTGTGGAAAAATCCGATCCGCCGCGACGACGACGACGACGACGACGACGACGACGACGACGACAACTACGATTGCGACTACAATCGCGCATGCACTCACGATTACAATCACGACTACAACCATCACCACAGACACAACTACAACCACAGCCCGTGTTTCCGATGTATTGCCACCCTCATGAGAAAATGCTCACCGATTCTCTGGCGTGTAGGGTAGCCCAGAACCGATTATTCCCAGGGAGAAGAAACACCAAATATTATCCAGCCCGCCCAAAAATAGACGTAACATAATCTCCACCGCAACGATGACGACGAGGAGGGGGGGAGAAGGAGGAGGAGGAGGAGGACGAGGAGGAGGAGGAGGAGGAGGAGGAGGAGGAGGAGGAGAGGGATGAGGAGCAGGAGGAAGAGGAGCAGGAGCAGGAGGAGGAGCAGGACCAGGAGGAGGAGAAGGAGGAGGAGGAGGGACGAGGTCGTTCCCCGATGAGAGAAGCAGGGGGGGGGGGAATCAAACTGAAGACCTCCTGGGAGTACCCCCCCACCACGGTGCCGTGCTCGGGGAATTCGAGGGTCCAGAACACCCCTGGCCATACAAACACCCACCGGGCCACACAAAACACCCAGAAGGCCACACAAGCATCTTCTCTCGTCCCGGGGGTCGGCCAGGGGGGCCCTTGGGGGGATCCAGGGGGCGATCCAGGGAGGGGGTTTCCAGGAGTCGTGACCCCCCCCCCCTCTCCGACCAAGACGGCCCAAGAGAGCCCCACATAGCCGCAAGAGTGGCAACACCAAAGGAGTCGAAAAGAAGCCCCTTCCCGTTGATCCCTTCCCTTCCAAGGGGGGGCACTGGATAGGGATTGCCGGGGGGTCCAGGGGGGGATCCTGGTGGGGGGGTCCTGATGCCAACAGGGCCCAGCCCCCACGAAGGCTCACGAGCGTCGTCGTCGTCGTCGTCGTCTTCGTCGTCCCCTTTCACGGTGGGCGGCACTGGCCGTGAAGCATTTACAAGATGTGGTAATTAACTCTTAGATGTGTATATGTATGCACGTATATATAGATAGAGAGAAGGAATATGACAAACATACTGGCGAAGGACCCAACCATATGCAGCTGTGAGCACCGCATGATGCGTAATGGTTCGGTGGAGCTCCCTGTGAGGCCACGAAACGTGTGAGGGGTGCGCCGAAATGGGGCGGGGCCGCCATGGAAACTTTGCCGCTGGGGCCTTCGGTGGAGCCCCCTGTGGGGCCACGAAACGTGTGAGGGGTGTGCCGAAATGGGACCGGGGCCGCCATGCGAACTTTGCGGTTGAAACCTCCGGTGGAGCTCCCTGTGAGGCCACGAAACGTGTGAGGGGTGCGCCGAAATGGGGGCGGGGCCGCCATGCGAACTTTGCCACTGGGGCCTTTGGTGGAGCTCCCTATGGGGCCCTGGAACGTGTGAGGGGTGCGCCGAAATGGGGGCGGGGCCGCCATGCGAACTTTGCCGCTAGAGCCTTCGGTGGAACTCCCTTATGGGGCCACGAAGCGTGTGAGGGGTGCGCCGAAATGGGAGCGGGGCCACCATGCGAACTGTGCCGCTGGGGCCTTCGGAGCCCCCTGTGGGGCCAAGAAGCGTGCGAAAGGCGAACCGAACATTTGAGCAGGGTCGCCATACGAAATTTGCCATTGGGGCCTTCGGTGGAGCTCCCCATGGGGCCACCAAGCGTGTGAAGGGTGCGCCGACATGGGGGCCGCCATGCGAACTTCGCCACTGGGGCCTTCGGTGGAGCTCTTTATGGGCACACGAAGCGTGTGAGGGGTGTGCCGAAATGGGACCGGGGCCGCCATGCGAACTTTGCCTCTGAGGCCTTCGGTGGAACTCCCTTATTGGGCCACGAAACGTGTGATGGGTGTGCCGACATGGGGGCGGGGCCGCAATGCGAATCTTGCCATTGGGGCCTTCGGTGGAGCTCCCTATGGGCCCCGGAACGTGTGAGGGGTGTGCCGACATGAGGGCGGGGCCGCAATGCGAATTTTGCCACTGGGACCTTCGGTGGCTCCCTATGGGGCCACGAAGCGTGTGAGGGGTGCGAGGGATGCGAGGAACGGGAGGAGGGACAAGGAGAGGAGAGGAGAGGAGAAGAGGAGAGGAGACGCAGGGCGATGTCTCTTCAAAATGAAGACCCAACACCACAGGATGGTTTGGCACAACACAGCGATAGAGAGGGAGAGAGAGGAAGAGAGAGACAGGGAGGGAAAAAAGAGAGAGAGAGAGAGAGAGACAGGGAGGGAGAGAGAGAGTACGAGAGAATAGAGACAGAGAGAAAGAGAACAATAAGAGAGGGCTGGTGAGGGCTCACACTTGGCGGCGAGGAAAAGGGACGTGGGGCGAGGGGGAAATCTTCTGGGGCGAGGGGGGGGCCCTGCCGCAGAGGGGGGGGGGGCTTCTCGGCGGCCCCGCTGCCCTCTCGAGGAGGGCGCCTCCCCAGACGGCTCCGACCCCTCCCGAAGAAGTGCCCCCTGCGCGGCAAAAAGCGACGGCGAGGGCCCGGCCGCTTTCGGTCGCCAGGGGCACTTCCGAAGCCCTGGGGCAGCCAGTCTGAACGCCCGAACATGGGTACGGAAAGAATGGATATTATGCCCAACAGCAGTTTCTGTTCATCTTGAACAGAACTCGCTGTCCACGCCGCCGCGGCCTGTGTCCGTTCGAGACAGGAGGCCGCCTGCCCAACAGCGGCCGCTGTTGGTTTGAGACAACATCTGTTGTTGGGCATTGTACCCATTCTTTCCGTACCCATTTCGGGCGTCCAAAGCCAGGACACAGCCCCCGCGGAGGGCGCAGGGGGCCACATACGAACCCTACCCCTGCCCCCCACGATTTCTGAGGGGGAGGGCGGGGCTCACTTCGCGCGGGAGCTCCCGAACGAAGTGAACCCCGCCCTCCCCCTCAGAAATCGTGGGGGGTAGGGGTAGGATTATGTCGGGCCTGTCCCCCTACAGGGGGATCTCCGACGAAAAACAAAAAACACCGTAAACATCCCCCCAAAATGTCAAACAAATACTCAAAAAAATAGTTCCCAAACTATTTTTGGACTATGTTTACCTAACAGCGAAGACTGATAGGTTTCTAGTAGGGTCAAAAGAGAGCATCATGACTCCCGAGGGGGGTCTGGGCGGGATCCGGACAGGGTGCCCCGGGAAACCCCCGGAAAGCGGGGACTCCTTTTTCAGCCAACAGTAACGCACTTCGTGGTCTTCGAGTTCCCAGAACTCCATTCCTGGGCATGATTTTGAATGCCCGGAGCCAACTGTAGGGCACTTCGTGGTCTTCGAGTTCCCAGAACTCCATTCCTGTGCATGATTTTGAATGCCTGGAGCCAACTGTAGGGCACTTCGTGGTCTTCGAGTTTCCAGATCTCCATTCCTGGGCATGATTTTGAATGCCCGGAGCCAACTGTAGGCCACTTCGTGGTCTTCGAGTTCCCAGAACTCCATTCCTGAGCATGATTTTGAATGCCCGGAGCAACTGTAGGCCACTTCGTGTTCTTCGAGTTCCCAGAACTCCATTCCCGGGCCACATTTTGAATGCTGGGGCAGGCTGATGCTGAGGCTGAGGCAGGCTGAGGCTGAGGCAGGCTGAGGCTGAGGCCGAGGCTGAAGGCAGACTGAGGCTGAGGCTGAAGCAGGCTGAGGCTGAGGCTGAGGCAGGCTGAGGCTGAGGCTGAGGCAGGCTGATGCTGAGGCTGCTGAGGCTGAGGCTGAGGCAGGCTGAGGCTGAGGCTGAGGCTGAGGCTGAGGCTGAGGCTGAGGCTGAGGCTGAGGCTGAGGCTGAGGCTGAGGCTGAGGCTGAGGCTGAGGCTGAGGCTGAGGCTGAGGCTGAGGCTGAGGCTGATGCCTGAGGCTGAGGCTGAGGCTGAGGCTGAGGCAGGCTGAGGCTGAGGCTGAGGCTGAGGCTGAGGCTGAGGCTGAGGCACTGACTGCTGAGAACAGCAGAATTCTACAACTGGATTCTCATCTGAATCTTAAAGGGAATGCTTCCAAATATGCTCCTACACATCGCTGTTAGGTTGCTTTGCCGGGATAATTCGACTATTTTGGGGGTATTCTTCATTTTTCGTCGAAAATCCCCCTGTAGGGGGACAGGCCCGACCTAAGGGCAGGGTTCGCCTGTGGCCCCCGCGGAGGGCGCCGAGACTGCCTCGACATTCCCCCGGGGAACCGCGGACCACATCCGTGCGGCACCGCGAGCGCCACGGCTCCGGCCGCAGCCTGTGCCGAGCCCTGGCCCCCCGGGGAGCGTCCCGAGAGGACCCCTGCAGAGAACGCCTCCACGAGGAGGAGGACGAGGAGGAGGAGGAGGACGAGGAGGAGGAGGAGGACGAGGAGGAGGAGGAGGAGGAGGAGGAGGAGGATGGAGGAGGATGGAGGAGGAGGGAGGCAGGGGTAGGAGAAGAGACAGAGCAGGGCCTCCGGCCTCCGCAAGCGTGCGGCAATCGAACGGTTAAAACGGCTTTCTCGTGGCGTGCTCCAGCACGAAAGCACGAGGAACTCCTTGTACTTCCGCCGCAGAGAGAAATTCGCGGGATCGGCAAACGGGTTGCCAGCGTGGACCCCGAACAGTGGGTGATTGCGGCCCTGGTTATCTGCGCTGGATGGCTGCGTACAGAAAACACGTACTAAATCATCGCATGTGCACCGCATGATACGGTCTGACAGGGGCGACAAGGGACCCGACACCCGCCATGGCTAGAATGTTATGATTTGTTATTGCCCGCACGACCGGCCAAAGGCCGACAACGGGGCCTGGGGAGCATGGAATCAACAACGGTACAACCATCGGAACAACCGTTTCCATCTATCGGACTACCTCTATCGCTCACACTACCCATCGTATCCACGATCGGTCGACGGATCGCATCGGCGAATTAGCTGTGCAGATATCGATGTGGCGATCGATGGCACCGTGGATCTCGACGTACACTTAACGATACTCCGATGTATGGATATGATGAAGTCGGGCCTGTCGCCCTACGGGGGGACTTTCGACGAAACATTATATATATATATATATATATAAATGGTATGGGAACTTTTTTTGCATTTTCCGACCATTTGGGGGCATGTTCGGTATATTTACCCACATCCAAAGTGGGGTTCTTATTTTCTCTGCACACGCCGCGCAGGATCTCACACGCCCCCTTTTTCCTCTCTCTCTCACACACACTCACCATCATCACCATCATCATCACCATCAACCACCACCATCGTCATCACACGCACACACTCATCATCATTACCATCATCATCAGCATCAACCACCATCACCGTCATCACTACTCATCATCATAACCACTCATCCCTACTCACCATCATAATCCCCATCATTATCTTCGTCACCATCATCACCATTCGATCACCCACTTACTCACTCAATTACTCACTCATCCTCAGTAGGCTTCGGAGGCAGTGGTCCTCCGACGGTAGGACCGCCGCCACTCTCAACATCATCGTAACCATCTGCATCATAATCTCTCGGCCACCCACTCAGTGGCCATCCTGATCATCATCAGCATCATCATCACTGATTCATCACACACTCATCATCATCATTCACTCACTCATCAATTCGTCATCACTCACTCCCTGGCTCGAATATGGAGGTAGTATCAGGCAGGAGCCTCGTCTGTGAGTGAAGTGTGAGGAAGTCTCAGGCGGGAACCCCTCCCTATGGGGCCCGCACCTCATGTTTTTAATCCGAGGCGGGTCATCCGAAACGTGTAACTGTCGTCACTTGTGGGCCCCTCTGGCGATACTCTGGAGGAAGTATCGAGCGGGAGCCTCGTCTGTGAGTGGATTGCGTCGAAGTCTCAGGCGGGAAGCCTCTCCCTATGGGGCCCGCACCTCACGTTTTTAATCCGAGGCGGGTCATCCGAAACGTGTAACTGTCGTCACTTGTGGGCCCCTGCGGCGTGAATCTGGAGGAAGGATCAAGCGGGAGCCTCGTGAGTGCGTGAATTGCGAGGAAGTCTCAGGCGGGAAGCCTCTCCCTATGGAGCCGCACCTCATGTTTTTAATCCGAGGCGGGTCATCCGAAACGTGTAACTGTTGTCACGCTTGGCCTCCGGAGGGCTTGAATAAGGAGGATGTATCAGGCGGGAGCCTCGTCTGTGAGTGACTCGCGAAGAAGACACCGGCGGGAGCCCGCTGGTCTGTCCCCGCGGGAATTCCCGCGCTGAGCCAGCTCGAAGCATGCGAGCTGGAGCCGAGGCGCAGGAGGAGGAGGAGGACGAGGAACAGGAATTGAGGAAGACGACGGCGGCAGGGCGCAGGGGGAAACCTTTGCGTCCATCCTCGAAAATTGACCCAGGACGAACCACTGCGCCCGAACGCGCAGGCGAAGAACATCTTCACGGAGACGACGGTGAAGGCCAGAACGCTGCACAACGCCTGCGCCCTGCGAGTCCACAAGTACATCAACGCGAAAATGTGACCGGGGGGCATGCAGAAGAGGTTGCAGTGGTTGTGGGAGCACGTCCGCGTCCTGGTCATCGAGGAGGTAAGCACGGCGGCAACTGCTCTGTACAACGCGCTGGACCTTCGCGCCTGCCACGGGCGCAGTGACACGCACGACGTGCAGGAGTCCACCTACAAGAGGCCGCACCACCACTTCGGCCGCGTCCCCATCGTGTGGCACCTCGGGGATTTCCTGCAGTTGAAGCCCACCGGCAGCATCGGGATCCTGACGGACGTGAACGAGCTCCTGGACGACGGGTCGTACAAGTACACGGAGCCGCCGACGGTGGAGATCCAGCACGCCATCAGGGTCTTCTTTCAGACCCCCTGCGTCTTCGAGCTGAAGGGCACAAAGCGGTTCGAGCCGGGGGACCCTCTGATCGCGCTCTTGGGCTGCACGCGCGAAAGCACGCGCTTCCCGCCAAAGGTCTGGTCTGCCTGGGAGAAGACGTTGGCCTCTGACAACCACGGCGCCCTGGACCCACGGCACCAGCACGATAATTTCCGGCCCGGCTACGGCATGGGCATCTACTGGGAGACGTTGGCGAGGTGGATCAACACGCGCGCTCGTCGCGACGCGCGGCGCCTCGGCGTCCCCCTCGTCTTCCTGCAGGCCGTAGACGAGTGCGGCACGATTCAAGGCGACCCAGACGCAGGCCGGCGCCTCCTGAACGTCCCGAGCATGCACAAGACGGGGGACATCCACGGCGTCTTACCGGCACACGTCGGCATGGAGGTCCGGTTCACGGCCGTGCAGGAGGAGCTGAAGAAGCAGTTGGGGCTCGTGCAAGAACAACGGGCCACTATCGTGTCTCTCGACCTTCACGCAGACGACGAGCGGGACTACGAGGAGTGCGCGCGGGGCCAGCTCTTCCGCCCCCGCTAGCTACCGCAGGGAATCTGGCTGCAGGCGCACGGCTTCCAGGAGTCCCCGATCTACAAGGAGGTCGCCGAGGTGCTGCAGCAGGGCGCCGACGGCGCTGCCGACGACGCCGAAACCGAAGCGCGGGCGAGGAGCTTGCTCATGTCCAGGCCCAGCGAGCAGGAGCTCACGTGGCAAAGTTCGGGGGCGCACGCTGTGCGCCGCTCGGGGTTCACCCTGACGCATGCGTCCTGCCTGACCTCCACGCTGCCGCAGGGCCAGACGCTGCGAAAAGGCGTCACCATCGACTGCGCCAGGGATGAGGACGCTGGCCGCACGGGCATGTCGGACGAGATGTGGTGGCTGCACCTCTACGTCATGTTCTCCCGCGCCACGCGCGTGCGGAACATGCTGATCCTGCGGCCGCCCACGCGAGAGTTCCTGGAACGCGGGCCGCCGGCGTTGCTGCGGAAGGCGCTCCAGGAGCTCGACAAAAAAACGGTGGACTCCAGGGCTGAGGCGAAGCAGCTCGCGGCAGAGCTGGGTTCCGTGCTGCCACCCGCCTGAGCGCCGCGGCGCGCACCTGGAGGCCCGCGGGGTTGTCCCATCGGCTGGTTCCCGCGCCCTTGCGGCTTGCGAGGTTGTCCCAACGGCCTGGCCCGAAGGGTTGTCCCGACGGCTTCGCGATCTAGCCGTCGGCAAACGCGCGCGTGCTGGCCGACGCGGCGACGGCGCCGAGGAAAATCGAGTTGCTTGCCACGACCAGGGGCAACGGAAGGTGCACATGGAGAAGAGGCAGGAGGATGAGGAGGGAAGGGGCATGGGGGAGGGCGACGACGAGGAGGAGGTGGCGCGAGAGGAGGAGGAGGAGGAGGAGGAGGAGGAGGAGGAGAAGGAGGAAGAGAAATAAAGGAGGAAGAGAGGGCAGTGCAGAGGGCGAGAGGAGAGGATGTCCGCCAAAGGGCAAAAGGTAAGCTAAACAGGTTTTGATGCGGGGTCCTACCGTCGGAGTAATTCTTATTTTTTGTCGCGAATCCCCCCGTAGGGGGACAGGCCCGACCCAAGGACATGATTGATACCCGTGGGTGTTAGCGTACATGCACAGATCTCCCGCACCGTGGCTGCACGTCGGGGTCTCCGCGTTCTCTCGGGAGCACGGAGTGGCCGTCGGCCCAGCGGCTGCGTGGTCGCCGTCGCCACCCACGTCGCCGCCTCGTCGCCTGGCCGTCGTCCTGGCCTGGCCGTCGGTTCGGCGGCTCTGCGGTCGCCGCTCCATCGCCAGCTCGTCGCCGCCCGTCGTCGGGGCCCAGGTGCGGGTCTGGCGGTTCCGTGGTCGCCGTCGCCGCTCCGTCGCCAACTCATCGCCGCCCGTCGTCTGGGCCCGAGTGCCGATCTGGCGGTTCCGTGGTCGCATTCGCCGCCTCGGCGCCGCCATACATTGCACAACACGAGTTGCACCGCATGAGACTCTGTTCCAGCAAGGAATTAGGATCCACCACCCTCCCGAGGCGGGAGTTGATCCACCTCTGGGGATGTGTCTTTAACATACGTTTCCGCCCCATTGCCCATTCTAACGATGAGCTCGTACGATGCCAACCAAGCCAATATCGAATCCCCCCTCATCCCATACAAAACAATACCATGCGCGCGCATTTGTCATAATCGAATGAACCTAGCGCGACCCCAATTCGAGGAATTCCTCCCTGTGGGAGTGGTAGCATCGCAACCAGGGCGGATGGCACCCCTGGAGCCCTCGGGCGCGCTTGAGCAACACGGCTGCGAGCATCACCTAACGCGGGGTGACACGGTGGAGACTGACGTGGTGGCATGATTGCACGTGCGTGCATCAGCGAACGCGCGACACGGTCGAGTCTGGCGTGGTGGCGGCGGGAAACCCGAGGAACCCAAGACATGTGGGGAGCCTTCGAAGAGCGGGCAACAAAGGACGGGGAACCCGAGGAACCCCAGGAACCCAGGGAACCTCCGAGGAACGGGCAAAATAACAATGTGAAGCGCCAAACTGTAACCAAGTAAGAACCACTCAGGGAAGCCAAATTGGGGAATACGAAACACAAAGGGTGGGGACCCCAAGGAACCCGAGGAACCTCCAGGAAACGGAAAACGTACCAATAGGAGGCACCAAGGGCGGGGAACCCGAGGAACCCGAAGAACCCGCAGAACCTCCGAGCAACGGACACCGTAAGAATACGAGGCAACAGCCTTTTTAACCAAGTGAAAACCACTTAGGAAAGGCGAACTT